AAATTTGTTGAATTCTGTGTTTGATGGTGTTAGTTGGTTTTACAAGATACAAACATCTATACAATAATAGCTTAGCAACACTTCAAATATTGATTGACACTCATGTAAACTAACTGTCGATCACTGAGCAATGGCTCTTTATTTGCATCCTGTTCATTTTATTGCCGCTGCATGTGTAAAAATCATAATCAAGTCATAATCAGTAAGGCACATGATGAGCTCATATAGAGCATATTGCTAAAGGATACTTTAATTAAAATACTTCTGACTTCAAGTGTATTTTTGTAGTCACAGAATTAAAAAAGTTGCTGGAGAACATATCGAGAAGAACTTATAAAGAACATTTTGAAATATTTAATAATATTTAATAAAAATCACTTTTTGTTCAGTTTCTCTTCTCATGGATTTAATTTTAGGCAGAAATGAGTTTCCATAGATTTGTCAGTCATAGTCTGGCTCTGTGAGATCTCAACTATGATCACATGTTTAGCTCAAACAGCTCTTCCTTCCTGTCTAAAAGTATCAGATTGTTCACTAGTCAAAGTCACACCGTGGTTAAGTACTTGTCTGAAAAGGACCTACAAGTTATTCTGTGTAAGTAGAGTTCATAGATTACTGATTCAGTGTCTGACACATTGATCTACAGTATATAATGAATGGATTGCTCTTATTGATCAATCGTCCTCCAAGATTTCATAATATCCTACTGGCTTACATAATAAATCATACTGGCTACAGAATTATACAGGCGTCTCTAATCATTAAATGTGCTCATGTAAAAAATCATAATAGTCATAACTCACCTCTGATGGTGTATGTGTCACTGTGTGGTGATCTGATCTCAGGTTCAGTCTTGAGTGAATAAACACAGATCAGCTGTCTGCTGTTCACTGATCGTGTCAAGAGTTCACTACGACTTACATAAAACATACAAAGATTCTTTCCAGACTGACTCCACTGAGAGTCACGTTGATACAGAAGAACATTGTCCTCAGTGTAGAGGCTACAGATGAAATCAGCTCTGACTGAAAGTATTTCACATGATATGCTGAGCTGGTCATGACTAACACTGATGAAGGGTTTCGGAAGTGCATCTGTTTAAAGACAAATGATCCAGTTATCAAAAACACTGCAGTAACAGTTTCTAAGACAGAAGAACAGCAGTGAAAATATCTCACCTAGAACCGTCACTGTGGCGGGAGGAGAATCAGATGATGGTTTATTAATGCCTCCTTCATGTATTGTGTAGTAACAGTTAATGTAGATTGATTCAGGTGATTTTACACCTGCCCATCTGAGCACTTCAGCACCAGTGAGCTCGAGCTCACATGATGGACTGACTTTTAGATTCTTCTCTTCTTTCTGATGAAATAACACTGATTCACTCTAACATCTGCTGGAGTCTCACAGCTGATCTTCACTGAGCTGGACTCTCTTATGACATCTGGAGATACTTTTACAGTAGGAGATTCTGAAACAACCCAAAACAGATCATTCACTACATTACATCTCCTCACTGACAATGTTTACAAGCACAATAATATTCCAATATTAATCACATATTTTTGGGTTCTAAAACCCTAAATAAGACAACTGCTGATTATAAACAAAATATTTTACTATATTACATATACTGTATCTAATATGTCAGGTTCACTTGTAGCTCTACTGATCAACATGTTGAAATATTTTAGACAATGACACTTTGTTCACTACAAATGTGGACATACAGTATTTAATCAACATTAAACAACAGAGATCACTTACTGTAAGACTGAACCTCCATCAGGAGCTGAAACACTATGAAGATGAACAACTCCATTACAGCGAAAATGAATAGTTCAAAAGACTCACAAACTCAGAACGTACAACTTTGAATCAGTCTGACTCCCCGAACCAAAGCAGCTATTGATTCAACACGATTCACTTACTGAACTCAAGTACCACATCAATGCATCTTTCCTTCAATAAAGCAATTAGGCTGTTCTTACCTGCTGTGCCACCAAGAAAGCAAAATATATATTCTCTCTTTATGTATACACCTCACACGCATCTTTGTTCAGGTTTATCTTCATTTTTTGTTGCATACCATAAATGGGTTAGTGATGTCATACACACAGCTGGACACTCAGTGGTCCCAGGTACACCTTGCTCCTTAATGCAAAAATCTAATCAGATAATCATATGGAAGCAACTGCACGATCATTTTCTAAAATTGTTGCAGTTCAACGGTCAACTTTGTTGTTAGAATTCATGTGTATGTTAAAAGCAACGTGTGTTACAATAGTTGAATAAAGAAGTATATACATACAGCCTAAATTAGATTTAATATTTAATACTTTAGCGAAAGGAAAAGAAAGTAAACAGGTCTCTGTCACAGTTCGCTGTTTAGGAAGCATGCAGGAGGCACGAATAAACAAAAACAGTCTTTAATCCGCAGAACACAGGGTACAGCCACACTGGAAATGGCAGGAATCACACAAACATAATGAGTAGAACCGACAAATACAGAATGCAAAGGCAAGGACTTAAATACTGGAGATAATTAACAAACACAGGTGCCAGGAATCATAATTAAACTAAACGAGGACAGGAAAAAGACCATATAAGGAAAACCAGGAACAAAGACAGGGGCAAAACACAACAAAACAGGTCCATGATCCTGACAGTCATCCATGTTTTGAGGGGCAGACAGACGAGGTTAAAAGAGACGTTGTTTCCAGCTGGCAGGAGGTGTAGTTCACCTCTGTGAGAACATCAGCAGAACCTGCAGAGATACAGACTTTATTATCATATGTTTCTATATTATGGAGTTCAGTTTATACACAACAAGGCAAGGACTTAAATACTGGAGATAATTAACAAACACAGGTGCCAGGAATCATAATTAAACTAAACGAGGACAGGAAAAAGACCATATAAGGAAAACCAGGAACAAAGACGGGGCAAAACACAACAAAACAGGTCCATGATCCTGACAGTCATCCATGTTTTGAGGGGCAGACAGACGACATTAAAAGAGACGTTGTTTCCAGCTGGCAGGAGGTGTAGTTCACCTCTGTGAGAACATCAGCAGAACCTGCAGAGATACAGACTTTATTATCATATGTTTCTATATCATGGAGCTTATCAGTTTACCTACAACTAAACCTGTACATTGTACTTACTGGTAAAGCGGCACCGACAGATGAATCCCATGAGTCCAGACAGAAATAAACCAATAACAGTGAAAACCAGCACTATTGAAACCCATGAGCCTGTCAGAAAAAAAATAAGTTTTTTTAATTATTGTATTTTTTAATTATATATTTAATTACATTAAATATATAATTAAATTATATTATTAATTATAATTATTTAAGCCATGTTTATATTGCAATAAGGGAATGAATATGCATAATAGTACCAAATCAGATAAATTATGTTCAGATTTTTTAAGTTATCATACAGTGCTGTGAAAAAGTGTTTGCCCCCATCCTGATTTCTTTTGTATTAGTGCATATCCCTTACAAAATTGTTTCAGAAATAAAAAATAAATAAAACAAAGGCAACCGAAGTAAACATTTAGTGCTGTGAAAGATTGATCTCCACTTATCAGAAGTGTTTGGTTGTAGTTACTGCTGTTTCCAGGTCATTTTAATACATCGATAAAAATAAAAAACTGTATGTGTTGCCTTTGTTGTATTTCATTTGAAGATCTAAAACTATTTAATATAAAATATGCACAAAAAGAGAAAAATGAAAATGGGGGCAAATACATTTTCACAGCACTGTACCATGTACGTAATATATTATCACGAAACGAGGACATTTCGAGGTTTGTGTTAGATTTTACAAATATTCAGAATAGCAGTTTTGTGTTGTGAGTGAATGAACAACCTTCAGAGTGAGTGTGAACAGTGTGAGGAACAGCTGCAACAGAAAAGATCTCAGATTAAATCAGATTAGAGTAAAAAAACTGAACTACTGTATTACAGACATCAGTGTTTCTATCTAGATTATATCACTGTTAAGTAATATTTAATGTCTTAAAATGTCTTATAATTATTTTTATTTAACATTTAACACAGATTTAATATTGTCTCATAAGCAAAGTAAAATATTCTTACATGTTTCTGTCTGTCTGGTGGAATCAGGCAGAGTAGAGGCTGCTGTGAAAACAGCTGATAGATTCAACAGTGTGTAACGAATCAGCTCATGAGGAAATATGAATAATTAATCATAACTAGTTATAATTAATTATGAATATTTAGATCCGATATTCTTACATGTTTCTGTCTGGTGGAATCAGGCAGAGTAGAGGCTGCTGTGAAAACAGCTGATAGATTCAACAGTGTGTCAGAGTGAGATGTGATACGACAGACATGACACTATACAGATACAGTATGGAGTAATTCAGTTTCCACAGACAATGGTCAATTATACAGTTTAGCTGTACTTATATGACACTATTTGTCTGCTAATGCTTTGACTGAACAGTTACAGTCACATTTTAAAAAGCTATGAAATAAACCGATACAGTGAACTCAGTAAGAAAGTTTTTTTTTTTTTTTTTACTTTGAAGTAGTTTAAAGTGAAATTAGCAAAATGCCTCTGTGTGCTTATCAAGTATGTGTTTAATTTTAAAAATGATATTCACTCACAAGTTCCTGTGGCAGTTGTCAAAGTTTCATCGGTAGAGGTTGAAGCTGCAAAGAGATTTCAATAATGTCACAAACTGCATTTAGTTTGGAAATAAAACTTTAGCTGTGTCTTCAGAAAAATTCTTTACTTTCTGTCATTTTTAGTCATTTTCTAATGTCATTTTGGAGGGAAAATAACAGCACAAACATTCGTAACGGCAATCATTATCATTCAATTTATTTCATATTAGTTTGTGTTTTGAAGATACTGACTTGACTTTTTTTATTGATGAATCTCCCACAAATGACTTCATAATATCCGACTGGCCTACATAATAAATCATACTGACTACAGAATTATATAGGTGTCTCTAATCATTATGCCCATTTAATTAAAACTGATACCAGTGGTAACAACTCACCTCTGATGGTGTATGTGTCACTGTGTGGTGATCTGATCTCAGGTTCAGTCTTGAGTGAATAAACACAGATCAGCTGTCTGCTGTTCACTGATCGTGTGAAGAGTTCACTACGACTTACATAAAACATACAAAGATTCTTTCCAGACTGACTCCACTGAGAGACATGTTGATACAGAAGAACATCGTCCTCAGTGTAGAGACTACAGTTGAAATCAGCTCTGACTGAAAGTGGTATTTCACATGATATAAAGAGCTGGACATCATCATCACTAACACTGATGAAGGGTTTCTGAAGTGCATCTGTTTAAAGACAAATGATCCAGTTATCAAAAACACTGCAGTAACAGTTTCTAAGACAGAAGAACAGCAGTGAAAATATCACACCTAGAACCGTCACTGTGGCGGGAGGAGAATGAAATGTTGGTTTATTGATGCCTCGTTCATTTATTGTGTAGAAGCAGTTAATGTAGATTGATACAGGTGATTTTACACCTGCCCATCTGAGCACTTCAGCACCAGTGAGCTCGAGCTCACATGATGAACTGACTTTTAGATTCTTCTCTTCTCTGTTTGTGATGAAATAACACTGATTCACTCTAACATCTGCTGGAGTCTCACAGCTGATCTTCACTGAGCTGGACTCTCTTATGACATCTGGAGATACTTTTACAGTAGGAGATTCTGAAACAACCCAAAACAGATCATTCACTACATTACATCTCCTCACTGACAATGTTTACAAGCACAATAATATTCCAATATTAATCACATATTTTTGGGTTCTAAAAACCTAAATAAGTCAACTGCTGATTATAAACACAATATTTTACTGCAAAATTCAGGTAGGTTCACTTGTAGCTCTACTGATCAATATTTAGACAATGACACTTTGTTCACTACAAATGTGGACACAGTATTTATTCAACATTAAACAACAGAGATCACTTACTGTAAGACTGAACCTCCATCAGGAGCTGAAACACTATGAAGATGAACAACTCCATTACAGCGAGTGTGAGAGAAGAGACGAGACTCACACAATGGGTGAATTAGGAAGTAACACATCAGACCACAGGAAACTATGCTTTGTGCAGTGTATTTTACGAAGATGAACGTGATCATGATACCACACTCATAGTTGTGTGCACTGTAACATGTTAGCGAAGCGTTACTCTAGTACTGTGGGTCACAAGTTTAATTAAGTTTTAGGTGGACATAACTTTGATTTACAGATTTCACCAGTGTTTCCCACAGTGCTTGCAATTGTAGGATTCACAAACAAATGACTCTAATGAGTTGGTCCTTTTAATTAATATTTAAAAAGACTCACAAACTCAGAACGTACAACTTTGAATCAGTCTGACTCCCCGAACCAAAGCAGCTATTGATTCAACACGATTCACTTACTGAACTCAAGTACCACATCAATGCATCTTTCCTTCAATAAAGCAATTAGGCTGTTCTTACCTGCTGTGCCACCAAGAAAGCAAAATATATATTCTCTCTTTATGTATACACCTCACACGCATCTTTGTTCAGGTTTATCTTCATTTTTTGTTGCATACCATAGTGAATGGGTTAGTGATTTCATACACACAGCTGGACACTCAGTGGTCCCTTTATTAGGTACACCTTTGCTCCTTAATGCAAAAATCTAATCAGATAATCATATGGAAGCAACTGCATAAAAGCATGCAGAAAAAAGCAAGCAGTTCAGATGGTCATTGATCATAAAGTAAAAAAAACAAACAGGCAAAACAAGTAGGACACTATGATCATTTTATGAAACTGTTGCAGTTCAGCTGTCAACTTTGTTGTTAGAATTCATGTGTATGTTAAAAGCAATCTGTGTTACAATAGTTGAATAAAGAAGTATATACATATAGTCTAAATTAGATTTAATATTTAATACTTTAGCGAAAGGAAAAGAAAGTGAACAGGTCATCCATGTTTTGAGGGGCAGACAGAGGAGGTTAAAAGAGATGATGTTTCCAGCTGGCAGGAGGTGTAGTTCACCTCTGTGAGAACATCAGCAGAACCTGCAGAGATACAGACTTTATTATAATATGTTTCTATAGTGTTTCTGTCTAGATTAAATCACTGTTAAGTAATATTTAATGTCATAAAAATGTCTTATAATTATTTTTATTTAACATTTAACACAGATTTACTTTGAAGCAGTTTAAAGTGAAATGAGCAAAATGCCTCTGTGTGCTTATAAAGTATGTGTTTACTTTTTAAAATGATATTCACTCACAAGTTCCTGTGGCAGTTGTCAACGTTTCATCGGTAGAGGTTGAAGCTGCAAAGAGATTTCAATAATGTCACAAACTGCATTTAGTTTGGAAATAAAACTTTAGCTGTGTTATTAATACAGGATAACATAATACAATATTAAAATATCAGAAAACTGAAAACTGGAGCTGTACAGATTCATATAATGTGGTAAACATATTTAAAAAATCATCCACCTAGCACTGGTTTAGACAACTCATTCAAAATAAACAGCAAATTAATATACCAAAAAAAAAAAAACTCTACAGGTGTATTGAGATGTACTGTTACTCACTTGTTTTTGTGGCAGTTGTCAAAGTTTTACCAGTAGAGGTCACCATTGAGACTATCACACAAGGGACAAATACATGTAGATGTATAGTCATTTGTTTTTGAGAAAAGGGATTAAGTTTTACAGCTGTAAATAGATCAGTTATTTCAACATATGCATATAAAAAACTCACTCTGGACTGTTACTGTCACTGGATCAGAGTGAGCAGATGGTTTTTTAATTTGTCCCTTCATCACAGTGTAGAAGCAGTTTATTCTCACAGATAAACTCTGACCTCCAGACCAAACACTGATCTGAGATCCAGTGAGTGAGAGCTGACATGATGAGCTCTGTTTTGAGTTACTTTCTCTTCCATTTATGTTGAAGTAACACTTCTCCATCTTCAGATCTTCAGTATTCTCACAGCTCAGCTCAACTGTGTCTGTTTCCAGAATAACTGAAGCAGATGCTCTCAACTTGGCCTGAGGAATAGAAGAACAGCAGTGAATATATCTCACCTAGAGCCGTCACTGTGGCGGGAGGAGAATGAGATGATGGTTTATTGATGCCTTGTTCATTTATTGTGTAGAAGCAGTTAATGTAGATTGATACAGGTGATTTTACACCTGCCCATCTGAGCACTTCAGCACCAGTGAGCTCGAGCTCACATGATGAACTGACTTTTAGATTCTTACAACCCAATCAAATAATATGCACGTATTGACATTAACAAAATATTAATCATATTTTTATCATATTCTGATTATGTAAACCTCAAGTAGAGTAATTAACCTGATTGATATAACCACGTTAAGCTAATATTTCAGATTTTAGCAGCTGGTTACATATAGGAAAAATTAAATAGCAAAATTAATGTCAGGTAGGTTGTATTCATATATTTGTATATTCATATTATAACTTCACACTTTAACAATCAGACATGCTGAGATATTTTGGACAACAACACTTTTTTCCGCGACAAATGTGGACATACAGTATTTAAGAAGCATAAATCACTTACTGTAGGACTGAACCTCCATAAGGAGCTGAAAAGCAATAAAGATGAACAACTCCATTACAGCAAGAGTGAGAAAAGAGACAAAACAAGACTCACACAATAAGAGTATTACTACAATAGACCACAGGAAATCGTTTAATATATTGTGCTGTTTGTTTATGTAGATGAAAGTGTACTTATAGACCGCACTTTTAACCGTGTGCACTGTGAAATAGGGCATATGTAACATCTTTTGTACCCACAGGTTGAATTTGAAATGGCATATTACAAGGTAAACAAATTCAATTCAATGTTATATTTTTATTAAATATAAAAGGTATTAATATGCAAAAAATTATCAGTTCTACAGTCAGTGGTCAGTTTATGAGATACAAGGGCTGCATGCAAAAATCTAATCAGCGAATCACATGGCGTCATTGGTCATTAATTGGACAGTAGTCTGACAGAAAATAATACAGACAAAATGAGTAGAAAACTATGATCTTTTTTTATACTTTGCGAAAATTAATATGTCAATTTTAATATGACATGATCACATAAGGAGGATTTGCTTCAGCTTTGTTTGTTTACACGGAGATACAGTAAAGCAGTTTTACAGAGATTTTATAGAGACCATCTCATTGATGCAGCAGCTGATAAATCAGTGTTGTTGTATGGGTAGATTAACAAGCTTTAGTATGAATGTGAACAGTATAGCAGCTGCAACAGAAAAGATCTCAGGTCAAATCCTACAGTATTAGAGTCAGAAAACTGTTGTCAACGTTTTACCAGTAAATGTCGCTGTTGAACCTGAAACAAATATTCATTGTCACAGGGTGCAAATTAAACCTTTAATTTGATTCTGGCCAGTTTGAAGGGGGAGGAGAATTTCTATGTGCGTCAGCTTTTTTGTCTAATCGGGGTGTAATTAGAGAATTGACATTCTTTCCAGATAAACTTTGATTGGTTTTCGGATTACAGGCTTGAAGGACGGAGCAATGAAATGAGGAAGCATCAAATTACGTATTAAGTAGCATCTTGTGTGTTGTGCTGCTGTTGGTTTGCCTGTTGAGCTGTATGCTGGCTTGACTGCATAAGTGTGTTTCGTTTTTGCAATAGTGTGCTATTGTCACATTTGTCAGTGTTGGGCAAGTTACTCTGAAAATGTAATCAAATTACTGATTAGTCCTTTTTAAAGTAATAACGTTACTGTTCTGATTACTTTATTTCAAAAGTAATTAGTAATTAGTTACATTACTAGTTACGTTACTTTTTTTCTCCATGAAATTTATGAAATCCCAGCATCCCGCCCGCACCAGCACTCGCCCATCTTGTCCCGCGCCTCTGTTGCGTCGGGTCTCGCGGGAGCAGGTCTCTAATCCACTGGCACTTGACTCGACAGTGCGTGTGCTACATCCTTTTTACAATCTCTAGATTATAAAACACTGCATTATGTCAGCAATGTAACGCGGCAGGCACGTATAGAGACCTCGGCTTATATAAGCATAAATGCTGTTTTACAGTTATCTCTTGACTTGTTCTTTATTAGTCATGGAGGTATGGTAGCCCATATTGTTGTTGTTTGTTTGTCATATCATTTGTTTGTTTGATAGAGAATTTTGCTGTTCCTGTTGGGAGTTTGTTGGGTGTTTGCTGTTTTGGTCTTTGCCCACTCCTGAAGTTGTGCTTTCACTTGTGGTCCTGTAAATGAAAGTGTACAAAGGATCGTTTGTTCCAGTTTATGTTCCAGCTTCATCCTAGACTGGCTCATAAAAATACTAAACTTTATAACTCATTTGTATATGTAAACTTTTTGACCAATTAATCTCCATGGCTTTTCCAAGATCTTCAAAGCCAATTACTGGATAAGATTATTGTATTATTGTTTTACAGCAGGGCACAACTAGAAAAATAAACAAAATGAATGACCATGACATGTTATATTTTTTTTACATATAGAAATGTCTGTATGGCTCTGTTTGTGTCACTGTGTGGTAAAAGGTGATCTGATCTCAGGATAGTTTTGAGTGAATAAACACAGATCAGCTGTCTGCTGTTCACTGATCGTGTGAAGAGCTCACTATGACTTAAATAAAACATACAAAGTTGCTCTCCAGACAATCTCCTTTGAGTCTAACGTCTGTTAGAGACTACAGATGAAATCAGCTCTGATTTCACATGCTATGACGAGCTGGACATCATCACTAACCAAAAATAGTGGAAATGAGGAATAATTTAACTGAAATGTAAACATGGACCATGTAACATATTGTAGTTTAAATGTTTAAAATGCAAACTCCTGCTTCTTTGGCCAGCATCCATTATAAAACACTTGGCACACGTGAATTTTGACAGACTTTAAAATATATTGAAATTATGTTTGTGCAAAAACATTTTCATTAAATTTTTTTTAGTTCAGCCTTTAGTGAAAGTGACATGACGTGTAGCCAAGTATGGTGTCCCATACTTGGATTTTGT